GTGATAGAGAACAACATAAATATCTAATAAAATAAACCATCGGCCTTGAAAATATACTTTGGAGACCCAAAGACATTGATTATGTACAAATCCCCTGGAAGGATATCAAGCATATTTTTTGGATTGGGAAGAACTCATTGTGCTTTAAAGCATGTGTCTTTTTGCTTGGTGCTTTTTCAAATGCAGCGATTCCAAAAACTGACAGAAGATTCAACATGGTCCCGAATAACATTTTGATCAATATATGCAAATAATATTATATATGTACATCTCGAACCAACAGAAAGTTTGTGCATTATATATATATATATATATATATATATATATATATATATATATATATATATATATATATATGAGGGCAATGGATTTTAATGCGCTAACTGCATATATATATAGACTCAAGCAGATGATTTGTTATGATTTATGTTTCTACTTTATGCTTTTTGCATCATTCAGGTTTTTTTTTTTGGTCATGCATAGTCATGATTAGCATCAATGTACAACGGGATTACTTGTGCATGTATGCAAAGAGTAAAACTAGCTATCATTTAGTTTAAAGATTGTCTTGCAAATAAGACCTATGTCATTCGGTTATGTTTGATGATATTTGCAAATGTTTGTGTTATTGCGTGGAAGAACAGCAGCAAGCAAAACTCAACAATTACAGCAGCAGATATGCCATCAGTTATCATGCAAATAAGTGCTGAGAGTAAAGATTCAAGAATATGGAGCGAGATTAGTGTAAAAAATACTACATTTACAAAATAAAAATAAATTCATATATGCACCGTACAATTCACATTTACAAAATCCGATTTGAAAATTCAAAATAACTCATAAATACAAATTGGATTTGTTAATTTTTCAATCGTGTTTTGAATATATGAAATGGATATGTGTGCTTTTGAATAGTGTTTTGAATGTACAAATTGAATATGTGTGTTTTTAATTTGTCTTTTGAGTTTACGTTTTGGATTTGTGTATTTTTGAATCACATTTTTTTCACGAGTTTACTAATTGGATATTTGTGTTTTTGAATTGTGTTTTGAATTTATGATTTGGATTTGTGTATTATTGAATTTACTAATTTGATTTGTGTATTGTTGAATTTGCGAATTGTATTTGTGTATTATTTAATCTTGCGAATTGGATTTTTGTATTGTTGAATTTAATAATTTGATTCGTGTATTGTTGGATTTGCGAATTGTATTTGTGTATTTTTTAATTTGCTAATTGGATTTGTGTATTATTGGATTTGCGAAGTGGATTAGTGTATTGTTGAATTTACGAATTGGATTTGTTCATTTTTGAATCATGTTTTGAACTTACAAATTGGATTTTGTTAATGTGATTTGTGTTATGGATGGATGAATTATATTTTGTACATGTATTATCTTTGAGATTGATCTGACCTCATAAAAGAAGAGTTCATTTTTTTTTTCATCAGTATTTTGAGATTTTAGAGAATGCAGAAAAAGATGAATCTGTGGATGGTGAAAATGTGAAAGAATACATCCATCCTAACGGGCCACCACATCAGATTCTGCATAAAAAACGGATGTTTGCCAGGGTGCAGTTTTTGTAGGGTTCTAAACAAATCCACTAGATGTCACTGTTATACACAAAGTTAGTATTGAGCAGAAGTTCTCAGCTGATTGTACTTCAACAGACCCAACAGAGCACCAAAAATACATGACCAAATTTTATACCAGGTGTAAACAGAACCCAATTCACTTCATTGTAAATTAAGTTTAATGCCGTTTTGGGTCATTTTTTTCTTAACTTTGCTCAGTTTGGTCATAGTTTTAAAGATGAGAGCATGTCACGAGTTTGCCAAGTATGATGCGATCCTGGATTAACATCTATATGTTCATTCTGGAACATCATTTCTGTTGAAAAAAGTAATCCATATCCATTCCCTACCCCTAAACCCTTAAATAATAGTTGGATAACAATCATGCAGAAGTGCATAAACCTAACCATAAGCCTAAACTTAACACAAATGGTCAACTTATCCCTTAATTTTGATTGGCTGATTGTAATGTTGCTCGGGGATCAACATAGATGTTAATCTAGAAACATGTCCTACTTGGTGAAATTAGGTTGGCGGTCATTCATCCAACATGTCCATGTGTTCATTACTTAAATAGATAGTTCACCTAATACTAAAAATTCTGTCATTTACTCGCCCTTCACTTGTTAAACACAAAAGAAGATAATCTGAAAATAGCTATAAACCATTGACCTCCATATAATTTGTTTTTCCTACTATGCAAGTCAATGGTTACAGATTTTCAGCTTTCTTCAAAATATCTCCTGTAGTGTTAAGGAGAATAAAGAAATTCGTCAAGGTTTGGAACCACTTACGGGTGAGAAAATAGTAATTTAATATAGTTTTTGGTTAACTCTTCCTTTAATCACAGGTGAGTTTGCATCAAAATATCTTGTTGTTTAATAAATATACACGATTATACCGTTTTTTTTTATGTGTAGTGATCCATCAGAACAGGCCTGTGGGTCACCAGTTGAGAGCCACTCACAAAATAAGTAATACTCTATTAGACTGTTTAGTGCAATACTGAGATTTAGGCAAAACTTGTACAAACATTCATGTGGTCTGCTTTTCAGTGATCTGAACGGGTGATATTAGTGCACTGTGTGGTTAGAAATATTAATGTGTTGCTGCATTATAAGCCCTGGATGGCATAAACCTTAAGATTCCAGTGGATACAATTAAAAGACACCAGAAAACAAGATGTAAAGGAAATAAAATGGTTTTAAACAGCCCCATAAATTGAGGATTGCTACATTGAACTTATTGGGGTTATTTAGTATGAACAACCCATACACCGTTAACAATTCTTTTGTAAAGTATACAGCATTTAACTGTAATATAAACTGTATTTTACTGTATGAAAATTATACAGTGTTACTGTTTTTTAAAATTGCATTGTGAAAATTGCTGTATATTTTACAGTAAAGATTTACTTACAATTTAGTTAACACATACAGCAAGATAAATTGTGCTGTAAGTGTAAATACTGTATTTTTGCTGTAATTGATTTACAGTAAGTTACTGTAGATTCTACAGGAAATTGTTAACCCTTTATAAACAGAAATAAGGTGGATTAGCTACAGGCCAAAGCATACTTTGTTGTTGAGTTTTTTGCAGTCAAACACACAGCTCTTTGAGACAAACTCTATTGTATGGTGTGTGCCAACCAGAGTGCGATAGAAAAGTGCACTAGAAAGATTCATCCTGGCTCAAAGTTTATGTTTTTTTCCCTCAAAGTTATTAGTAATCAAATGCCTTTGTTCTCTTTTCAAACATTGTTGTGGAAATCATTTAAAGTCCATGTGAAAGAAAACATTAAAAGTAGTGTTGGGAGATTAATCGAAGGGGATTTTCAGGATTTACTACACAAATTCATAGTAAATGTGATAACCTATGCAAAAAATCGTTTTCAAAATAGAAATTGATGTAAATGGACGATAGAGATAATCTTTCTGTGATAATGACAGATGACAGCTCTTAAGCAGGTCGCACACCAGAAGCGCCGCTCGGCGGCGCACCTCGCAGCGCCACACAGCCCCATGTATTTTAGAATTCTAAACATGGTTTCTATCAGGATACACACACCGGCGCCGCAAGTCGGCGGCTGTCGGCGGCGCCCGTCCACGGTTCAGGACGCAGTTCATTTTTTAGCCGTGCCACAGAGCGCCATCTGATTAGTTTCATGTTAAATATCATTAGAATGTGCGCGTCTGGTGTGTGATACTTTAAAATGTTATGTACGTGTTGCGGCGCCGAGCGGCGCTTCTGGTGTGCGACCTGCTTTAGTCAACTACGGCTCTGTAGAAAATGTTGCCAGTGAAATTAGCACATACATGTTTTTACTCCAAACACACATCATATCTTCAGTCGGGTGTTTAAAATAAATCCTTTTGTGAGATGATTCCTTAGTCATGTAATTATCAGTCACGCTGCATCAATGAAAGCCATTAAAACTTGTTAATAAACAGTTTATAATGCAACGTTATGGAGATTTCATGGGTTTCTTCTTTGTGGGTGTTTAAAGTGTTTGCACAAAAGTGCCCTCTGTTGATCGGAGGAGACTTACAAATGATCACACAGCCATGCTTCCCTTTTAAGATGTGGATGACAATGACGGCTTTGCTCAGTCGTGTTTGCGTATTAATTTCCATTAATCATCCTGGACTTACTTCAAATCAACTAGCTAGTAGGGTCCAAATCAATTATGAAATTGCCATTTAGAAGATTCATTGCATTTTGAATAAAACTTAGGAGTGGCTATTTGCACTTATTAAAACCCCACGTAATACCCAGTGTAAATAACCCAACTTGTTGGCAGAAGCTATTTATACTAACTCCGCCCAAGTTCAATCTACCCAAGATTAAAACTGTTGCAAAATGCCTGAATTGGGGTCAAATGCTGGTCAAATCAAGGCGCGAATATTTGAATGTTGCGCGAGCGGAATCAGACGTTGGATGCAGTGAAGTTATTTGGAAGAAGACGATAACCTGCTAATTTCTTGTTAAGTTTTTTTTTTTTTTTACTTTATTGCACTTTTTATAGTTTTATAGTTATGTTTTTTTTCCTTACCAGCCATGGATGTTACAAGTGGTATTATTTGTTTATTAAGTATTTCCAGTACATTTTCAGTACCTTCAGTTTTATGACATCACTCTGCACTTATGCTTGTTGTCAGATTTTCAGTCCAATCAATTTCTCTCTAGAATCTCTTCTCGCTCCTCTAAACTATGAACAGAAACCACATCGAAAAAATGATTAATAGGATTTACTAGAAAATCTTAAGGTAAGTGGCTGCAAACTATTTATACAAGCTAAATTTAGACAAACAAATTATATTGAACATTACTCAATTTAATTTGTTCATTTAAATTCACCCCAAATAAATTGTTTGCAACCACTTACCTTAAATCCAATGGTAATACTTTGTTTTGGTCTCTTTCGCACATTTTGTTGACTATTGGTTACATTGCATCTACATGATAACTAATTCTCATTAGAGTATTAATAGAGTGTTTGCCTAATATCTGCTGACACTTATCCACCAGCAGACATTCAACTGACTATAAGAAACTTTGCAACTACTTTGCAGTCTCCTAAAACTCTAATGAGAATCAGTTGCCATATAGTTTCAATGTAACTTATAATCAACAAAATGTGTTAAAGGGACAGTCAAAATAAAGTGATACCAATTCAGTGAATCTTTTATTTTTCAATGTAAATCTTTGACTTGTTCACACAACTACAGTTTCAAACGGTTTACTTTCATTATACAATTTCAAATGAATTAGTTTTTAATTAAATACAGTTTACTTTTACTATAATAAAACCATGGTTAATTTTCGTAAGGGTATCAAATGACGTTGATTTTGAAAGCTTGTGTATTCAACTGTGCATACTCCAACATACAAAGTATACTCTGATTTACTAATACAGCTTCAAATCAAAGCAAAAGCGATGCAGGTGGTGGAGACTGGCAGTTGTGTTAGAGGATGTGAGTGGCCCTTTTTTAAGAGAGCAGGTTATATAGATGATCTGATGCCAGTGCCAGCCTCACCCCAGAGATATGAGTCAGGCTGGCAGAAGCAGGCAGACTGACGGCACCACTGAGGACCCCCTGAGAAACCCCTGATGATCTCAGAGTGGGTCTCAGCAGGGACATTCAGACCAGTTGAGTGTGTGTGTTTGTGTTTGTGTTGGCTGAAGGCCTGCAGCAAGGTGGTCCTGAGGTGTAAAGGACGACACACGTGTTTGTGCAGGGCAGGGAGGCTGGGGTTTGTCGATCCGCTGCTCCGCTGGCCCTCGCTCCTCCTCTGAGCGCCCCGGACGGTTCTAGGGCAGTGAGTGGCTGGACTTCAAGGATTATTCTGGGGCTTGTTTTACTGGAATGTTCTTTGTCAACTCTAGACAAACCAAAGATTAAGTTGTAAAATGAGGTTAATTGCAAATTAAATGTAGAGATATACTGACATCTAGTGGTATGAATATAGTGTCACATTACAGCTAAGTAAATTTGTTTTGTTAAAATAAAGTTGATAGGAAAAGAATTGAAAAATAAAAATACTGAAAAAATACTGAAAATTAAGCCATAGAGAAAAAAACGAAATCTTATAAAAAATATACAATATCAAACTAATTTAAAATGGCAAAAGTAAGTAGCAAAAAAAGTTAAAATTCAATTTAAAAGATCAATCTAAAAATGGAAATATAAAATTATAAATAGTTTTTGTCAATTAAATTTAAGCTGAAATAAAATAAAATATCAGATAAAAAACTTGAAATACAAAAAAAGATAAAGTAAAATAAAATGTTAACTAACATATGTGTGTATATATATATATATATATATATATATATATATATATATATATATATATATTGTGTGTGTGTGTGTGTGTGTGTGTGTGTGTGTGTGTGTGTGTGTGTGTGTGTGTGTGTGTGTGTGTGTGTGTGTGTGTGTGTGTATTATAACAATTCTGTCAGGTTGTTTAATCTGATTGGCTGATAGCCGTGCAATATTCTGCAAATAACAGCACTTCTTCACTCTTTAACCCTTGTGTATTACTCCGTCCACATACAGCAACAAGCAGAAGACACTCTACAGTTTGACAAATATTGCTGCTGTTGGACAACATAATGCACTTTTAAAGCTTTTTTATTCGAGAATGTGGTTGTTTAGATTGCAACTATGCAGGTTATATATAAATATTACTAATTTCTGAGAGACAGCGCATCGATTAGCCTGTCATTGAGCAGACCAAAGAGGGTTAACGTTGTCCATCCGCAATATGGCAGCAAAGACTGCATAATAAGCCCTAAGGCCAGGAAAAAACCCAGCATACTTTTAAACTACAGGTGATCAAACCATTATAAAACTGGTAAGTGACTAAGTTGCTTTGTAAGTGAAGTCGATCTCTTTCTATTGTATATTGTGGTGCTGAATTTATACCATACAATTGTCATATATTGAGTGTGAGAAGTGAATTACATATTAGAAATGTTTGTGTTTTCCTTATCACAAACACAGCAGTAATCTGGTTGTGTTTGCATTGGTTTGGCTTTTTTGGGGTAAATTATTATGATCTCCCAATCGCAACAGAGAAATACTGGGAAATCTCTGTAGACTGATGGCATTTAATGCCGTTCAGCCTTATAATCTTAAAATGTGAGCAAAAATATTTGTTTTGTCATCCTTTAGATATTAAGCTAGAGAATCATTTTAATACTAAATCTAAAGTTATGTTTGTGATGTTGCAACGGTTTCTAATGTTTTTACGTCAGCTGTAGATGTGAATGAATGGCAGAAGAAAATAGTTCCACTTACAAAAGGATTTTGAGACTCTCCGTGTTTGATTTTCTTTTTTTATATACACGATTGTGGTGTGAAACTTTTGTATTGACGCAATATCACATGACTAGCAGTGCGATGTGGCTGTATATCATCACTGCTGGGACACTAAGGCACGGCTTCAACCAGTGCGCCACTCCAACCTCCAACTCTTCGTGTGATATTGCTCATACATACGTATATATATATATATATATATATATATATATATATATATATATATATATATATAGCAGAATATATTAAATTGCAGAAATAAAACATTTTAATTAATTAAAAAAATTGAAATAGTTTTATAAAATTTATTCAACTTTGATAATGTCCTAAAAGTACTAAAGTTATAAAAAAGATAAATAATACAAAATTTCATGACATTACTTAAAACATTATTTTTCTTTCTTTTGTGTTAAAACCTTTTTCAATAAAAAAGTCCAACACTCACCATTACTTGTGGTCGTGCTCATTCAATAAGCTCCTGCGTCTCTGAGAACTGGAGGAAGAGCATAAAAGCATTTAGGCTCAATGAACTCTTATTAAAGCCTATATAGGTCATGCGGCGGGCACTGAATCCCTCACCTGTTGGCTGGAGTTGGCAGAGGGAGGTGTGACCACATTCTGCTCCACCAGCGGGTTCAGCGGGGCGGAGCCTGGCAGATGAGTGGCGCGCCAGTATATATCTAAATATTCAGCCAAGTGCTCACACGCATCCTCCAGCTGATTCTCATCCAGTATAACATCAAACATTTCCTAACAGAATAATGAAGAGTAACAGTGCAGTTTTTTCTCTCTTCCATCACTGTATTAATAATGAAGGTTAAGTTGACTTCATAGTGTTGGATATATTATTTTCTGTATTGTTTAGACAGATAATTCACTCATGTGAAACTGATTGTTCAAACAAACTCCAGATGCACCTGAAGATTGACACCCTTATGAAAGCAACATTTGACAAACTTTTGGTGCACAGTAGTGCTGTTTTTTTTTAATAATATCATGTTTACAAAGGCTTTTTAGTTTTTTCACTATTCAAATGCCTTAGACTGTTCTATTAATGTTTTCTGCTTACTATTAAAATTGTCTGTTAACAGGAGCTGAATGTGGGACTCACCGGTGGACACTGTGCCAGTTTATCTCCTGCCATCATCTGGACGTTGAGATGTTTGCTTTGAGATTTCCCTCTGGACTTAATGAGTCTTTGAAGGACCTGAAGTGAAAGGAGGACATGAGAGTACTTTAGGGAGATCTGACACTACCTGTGTAAGTAAAGTAATGTTTTTTTATGTCTGAAGTTCTTTTTTAAACAATTGGATCATTGTGAATGTTCAAAAATTGTTTGTTTTATAGTTATAGTTTGCAGTGGCCATGTAAATGAGCAGGCCTTTAAAGATCTCTCTCTTAAATGAATGCAACACTGTAAAACCCGACAGTCAACTTTATCAAATGAAATGAGTGTAGTTAATTCAAAATTTACTGAAAGTTAATTCTACTCATTTGAAAAGAGTTTTGAACTCAGTGTTGAAGATAATGAGTTAATTAAATACCTCATTACTTCAGCTTAAAGAGAGTAAGTTCACAGTACTCGTATAAATAAGTTTACTCAAACGGTTTGAGTTGCCTTAACGTTTTACAATACTCCGTTGGTTTGAGTTCTCTTCATTTATTGGGTTTTACTGTACTCAAATTGCTTCATTTACTCAAATAGATTAAGTTCACAGTACTCATTAGGATCAGTTTTTAAACCTAAATGATTTGCTGCAATCGGTTTCCTTAAATGGTTTGAGTTACCTTAATTTTGTTTTGGGTTTTACAGTGTATATAATATTATATATTTTTTTTTATTTATATATTCAATATAAACTTCTGTATACATTAGATTAGTCAGTACCAAAGCCAAAACTGGAACTAATCTAACAAAATAACCTTAAGATCACGGTGTAAAACGTAGTACACCCCAATGAATATGTTGAATTAATGAATAAAATGGAAAAAATCAAAAAATTTAATAAAGAGGAAAAATCGCGAGAACCGTAAAAAACTGAAGTTTTATTAATTGCTAGTTTTGCAGTTAGTCTTTTTTTGTGCAACATCTTATTTGAATTTAATTGTATTATTTTTCTATTCATAAAGGTGTTTGGTGACCACACTCTTATTTTAATGAATATATAACATTTAAGTCATGTAATATATAACGTATATATGTAAAGTATGTTAAAATAAAACTATTTTGTTTAACATTTCTATTGACTTATGGGTCAAAAATAACCCAGGCAGCATTTTAACAGCATAAAAATACCCTAAACAATTTTTTTATTTTGAAGTTTGTTGATTTTTTTCTAATATGACCGCAACATTAAAAAAATGAATAATTTTCTACTTTCATATTTTCATGAAGACTGTAAACATTTAGGGTTCAACGATTATCCTTCAGGTCAATTTATAGCCGCCAACTATAAAAAGATTTTTACGCCACAAACTACAGGTACACACATGCACACTCCCAAACGTTTTTTTTTAGGGTAAACCAATAGGCATTTACAGAGTTTGTGATGAAGTCTAGGTTGGTTTATCAAAAATAGGTTATGAGGATTGAAATTATATTTAGAGTCTGTATTTTAGAGATTTAGTGAAGGCGGGTCATTTTTTACCCAAAGGCCGAATTACAGAATTCTTCATTCACTGAGAAATGGATCAAACTATTCATTTTCAAAGAGAGTGTACTCTTTTATGCTGTGCACCTACATTTCTTTTGTGTTCTTAATGGTTATGACACATTTAGATCCATGCAAACATTTCATTTTATTTACGTGCTTAGTTATTTACGTATGTGCTTAGTCCCTTTATTAATCTGGGGTCGCCACAGCAGAATGAACCGCCAACTTATACAGCATATTTTTTAAGCACTGGATGCACTTCCAGTTGCAACCCATCACTGAGAAACATCCACACACACACACACACACACACACACACACACACACACACACACACACACACACACACACACACACACACACACACACACACACACACACACACATACACTACAGACACAGGGAGAACATGCAAACTCCACACAGAAATGCCAACTGACCCAGCCAAGGCTCAAACCAGCGACCTTCTTGCTGTGAATATGTTTTGGTTTGTTTATTTGATAAATTAACTTGTTTCCGTTTGGATTGAGTCAGAGCTCATGTGATCCTCCCTGATTAATTTAACCTGCGAGAGTTGGTATACACAGCATGGTTATATCTCAGTGCAGGCACATGTTAAAAGCTCCTGATTATTCTACTGCTGGTTATGAGGCCCACTTGGTAAAGAAAATATTGTTTGAATATGATTTAGTTTATTTTGGTGTCCTTCAAATTTTGTTGTGTTTGTGTGAAATATTTGGTTTATCTTTTTAGTTTTCACAGTGTTCGATGAATAAAACACATGAACGTCAATGTTTGGGAAGCGTGGACTGGTTTGGTAACCGGCGAGTAGCTACAATTTTATTTAACATTTCTGACTGATATTATCAAATGTGACATAAATGCAACACACATTCAGGTGCAACTTTTTTTATCAGAAAATACAGTAGAAATCTTGCTTTACCTTTGGAGAGGACACTTTGACGTAGACGATGATGGGGGCGAGGGAAGTCTTGAGTAGTTGTGCGGGATGGTTGATCGTGTCAGCATCCAAGACCACCAACTGCAAACTCTTAGCCAGCTCAAATATTCTCTCAATCTCACTCTGCACCTCCGCTGAGAGACACAGGCATGATAACAGGAAACACATTAATAATGAAACAATATGTGATGCCACATAAGAGCCGTCTGTGGTGGAACATACAGTGCTTGTTCTGTTTCTCCTTTAAGAACTTTCAGTTGTCTATGGAGGGCGTTTCCCATTATGTTTTGCTGGGAGTTCATGGTTTATTAAAAGCATTAAGCAGTTTATGGCTTTTCATACAGTTCTGAGGTTGACTGTGTTGTTTAATATGTATTTTACACTATTTATGTTATTAATGTAGTTTAATAACACCTATACTTCTTTAAAAACTATGGATCAGGATGGGGCCAAGTAGAAGCATTCACCCTGATCCCCCGAGCTCTGAGAGGGTTGTGGTAATTCCAAATTGTACCAGAACAAATTATTACAATTGGCTTAAGATTGGCAAGAAAAATTCGGCACATGCATCAATCAACAGAACTTAAAAAAAGGTAGTAATATAAGACACGGTTTTATTGTGTTTACTGCACTCACCCAGACTGGAGCGTGTGTTAGACCTCTCCATGATCGCTTTCTTGTTCAGAACAGATCTTTTGGCCAGAGACAGATCTGCAGTCACCCGGGTGATAGAAATCCTGTCATGAAATAAGGCAAATAATAGAAGAATAAATCAAACGTTAGGAAAAAAAATGTTGAATATCAAAAATAAAAATAGTTAGAATAAAAATAAGAAGAATATTACAATATCAAGGAACTAGTACACTGACTAGACTTACTCTTCTGAATTGGAAACAAACAAAAAGAGCTCACTTGGATGAAACGTCATGTATTTTTTTCAGTTGAAAAGAATTAGCTTTTCTGTTTAAGTTTTCTGACACTTCGGGATGTATTATAGACTATTATGAAAGTGACATGATTTTTGTGTCTAACTAAAATGTTATACATAAGGTTTAAAAAGTGTTCTAAAATAATCTGACTGCCCCCCTTTTTTCCCAGTCGCATTTTTGGTTAAGCTGTGTCTTTAAGAGTGAACTGAATCACCTCTAATCTCTAAACCAGTGAAACAAACACTCACCTTCCATCAAACCTGTGTTTCAGGAAGTCAAACAAGGCTTTCTGCATCATATCAGTCACCTGAATGAGAAAAAATCTTCAGAAATATGCACAGGCCCAGAAACGAATCATATATAATTACCATGTCAATCTAAGGAGCTTCGGGTCCTGAGCTATTAATAGTGTTCACACCCAAACCAGTGATTTTGTTGTCTAAGGAATCTAGAGGGGAAATAAAGCAGGCTTTTTTGCAGGAAGAGTTGTGTGTAAGGCTAATATGGTTTAGATGAGGTGATGCGGTTTTATTTAGACACTGGGTGAAAAATGAATGAGTCTAGAAATAGAGGAAGAGAGTCAGCAGGTCCCCGGTGCCTCTGTTAAAGAGCTGACTGACAAATGTGTCCAGAGCACCAGGGCCACAGGAACACTTCAATATTTCACATTCATGAACACATTCAACAACACTGCATGGGGAAGAAGCAGCATATAGCAGGAACAGAGCGCTCCAAAGTCAAATATTATGACCATCTATATGAGTATGCTAATTCAGTAAAACATTTTCATAGGCCAAAAATTGTTTTTTTAAATTATTTGATTAGAAAATGTGGTATTGTTAATTGTATTATTGTTATTATAAAATTATATCAATATTATTAATTAAATAGTTTGTGTTTAGCTTATGACTTTGTTTTCTCATTATTTTAATTTTAAACTGCATTATGGGACCTTGATCTATACTCCAGCAACCATTTTGATGTTAAAAATGTAACATTTTTGGGTAAGTCATATAAATTCTGGTACCAAATCTTATGCTGACTATGCATTGGCCAGTATAAGTTTCAGACGGTATGACAAACTTGGATAAAAATATCATAGTATTGTGATTACTGTTCTAAAATATGTCACTTTTTAAAATGTCTTAGTAAAAAAAACGACTTTTTTACCCCATTAAACACAATAGTTTTTATTTTAGGAAACGTATACAATTTTGGAACGGTAAACATGTCAGCCTAAATAATTAAAATAAATCATTGACTTCTGCTTCATTGATTTCAAAAACACAGATTTATTTACAACACATAAAAAAACATTTTTTTTTAAAAACCTTACATATACCTTAGAAACAGTATAACAGAAAATACTAGTGATTTTAAAACCTTTACTTTCCCAAACGATGGTAAACCATGAAACCGGATATTGTTTCATGCCTAATGCTGACAGCACTTTTGCTTTAATTTTTGCTGATCACACCAAACATGCTTTTCCATTCTGATAAAGCAAAGCACACTGCACTGCTTTTTTGTTAAATAGAGAAATAGAAGTGTGCTGTGCTTTTTATGTTGCTAGGCAACCACTGAATCAGCTGCGTATTGTGCATGAGAGCTGCTGTTGATATTGTTATAATAGGGTATATGCAGAAGTAAGGACTTAATCTGTCAGTAACCTGGGTCAAGCGCTTCCGGTGAACTGTATGCCTTTACAAAATAAGCGCGTTTAAGGTCTGTTTTCTTTAAAAATCAACGACCTCCACTGGCTGAGTGATATTTGATATAAAGTGGGTCTCAGAATGTACAAGAAGCACTGCAATAAATATTTTTTTTTTCCTGTCATGTCTTTTAAATATGAACATTTATGTTACTCCAGTATATTCAATGGAGCTTCTGCGCTAGCCTGCTAATCCTGACGAGCGTGTGCGTGTAAACAGCTTTTCATCTCATTTTACACTTGAGCAACTAAATGAATGCTGAAGTCTATTTAACAGATTATATTTAATTACATTACAACATCGATGCTGTAAAAGGAACCGTATAAAATTTTAAAAACTCAGGGTTTCTACAGGTTTCGTCAAGTCAAATTTAAGACTTTTTAAGACCTTTTTAAGATCATTATGAATTCAATTTTAGACTTAAGGCTAAATGCTAAGGATTTTTTCTAATGGTCCACTTAAACAAAAAAAGCAAACATTACAAACAAATTTTGCATAGAAGATAATTAAACCATTTGTTTATAAATATAAATATAAATAGGGTTAATAAACTTTTGGTAAAACTTTTACTGAGTTAGAATGTTAGTGATTGGATAGGTGTTTGTCTGATTCGGTAGCTTTAAATGGACATATGAAATGTAAGACCAGTTTAAAATGATTTAATACCTACAGCACTATATTTTAGTCACTTTAAGACTTTGTTTGGCATACAATTTTGATTTTGAAATTTAAGACATTTTAAGACTTTTTAAGACCCTGCGGACACCCTTAGTCACATTAACCATTCACTGGAAGTTTATCAGCATGGGAAGAAACACTAGCTCGGCATATACCCTATTGTAATATTTAATAATCTTGTGATAGTCATAAGTCACAAGTCATAGAGCTCCGGATGACTCGAAACAGTGACTACTAGTCCCTCCTCCATCTTTAAAAGTCTTCGTAGTCATCACTTTATTGGAAACCCTGCCTCTGTTTTTTATTTGATTGGACAGTAAAAAAAGACGTGACTCTGAATGCTTGCGGCCATTAGAAAACTATTAAAAAAAGAAGCCTCTCGTCACAAAAAGTGCACTTAGTGTAATCAAGGCCTTAAGACTCATTATGCAAGTTTGTTATTTAGATTTTTTGGTTGTATTTTTATTTTTCACATGTGTTTAACTTCTTTGAGATAAAAAGCATATCATAAAAAAATATTATTATTATTATTATTATTATTATTATTATTATTATTATTATTATTATTATTAATAATAATAATAATAATAATAACAATAAGTCAAACTTTTACTTATTCTGTGCTTGTTAGTTTTAAGTCCTGAATGCTCAGTCTCTTAACTGCCATGATAATAAAATTCACAAAAATTTACCTCATATCCTTTTAACGAGGGGCCAACCAGAACAACAGGCCTCATGGATGGAACCACATCATAGGGAGGAACATGTTCAGTCTGCAACACACACATACACACATTAGGTTTTTATGTTTTATGGGGTCTTCCTACACAAATAATCATTTTTATATGATACAAACTGTATATTTCATCCTCTTTCTCCAACTCTACCCTTGAAACCCAACCCTTACAGAAAACATTCTGCAGTATGTTCAAGATACTTCATTCTGGATGATTTATGAGCCGTTTCCCAGCAAACAATTTTGTGTTTAACAGACGTCTAATAGATATCTAAACATGGACAGCTTGGCTAAAACAAGGTTAAACTTGGGCAGTCAGTGAAAATCTAATAGACATCTAGAATAGCCCAAAACTAGACTAGTCGTCAAATATAAAGTCTGTCTAATCTGTCTATGTATAGTCATTCATTTCTGTTTATTTGATGACTACTCTAGTTTTGGCCTATTCTTAGACGTCTATTAGATTTTCACTGACAGCCCAAATTTAGCCTTGCTTTAGCCAAGGAGAATATATTTAGATGTCTATTAGACATCTATTAGACATATTTTAGAAACAAAAAATGCTTGCTGGGTTTCTTCATGGGAACTAAAAAAATCTCCCCTCAAACTCAAAAATGACTGGTGTTTCTATATTTGAGGGGACATTTGGTCCTCACAATAATGAAAACCACAGAGATACTGTATGTTGCAAATCTAACATCTAATGAGTAGCCTCAAGGGACGCATTAAAATCTCTCACAGAGAATCATCTGAGAGGTCAGAATATATAAAGTAATACCCTGTTTTTGAAACACCTACCTGCTTCTGCTTCTGTTTGGCTTGTAAAAAATAAGAAAAAAGTCTTTAAGAAAATCTGAAGTTGGTTGATTATGTTGGCAAAATATATCATAATGAAAAATCGTTAAGCACAGCAGCTAAAAGCGTCATGTATCCTGAAGGGGAAATTTGTAATGGCTCAGAAGTAATGTTAATATTATTTAAATACCGCTCACCTGCAGAGGGAGGAGTGGATCTCCAGCCCCCAGATGACGCATTGCCCATTTTCCTGTTAACAACACAAACATGTTAGAAGTTATAAAAGGAGACACACAGATAGATGATGTTTGATGTATGATATAATACATTGAAAAATCTCATGCTGAAATCTTGGAAGGATTTTCTTATTAGTATATTTTTTCTTCTTACAAGTGAAGTGGAAAACCACAGCAGCTGAAGGTGGAAGTGTTTATTTCTCACCTACAGTACAGTTTTGATAACTATTGTAGTGTGCTAGAAGAGTTTAAAGAACAGTTTTTCTAAAAAAATATATTGTATGTTGTTTTTCTCGAAGAGAACTTGTTTCAGCGAGTAAAAGCATACTCGTGTGTCTACACTATGCAAAAGTTTATTAAACGATAAGTTTGAACTGTTAAACGCTTCCTTGAATTTCTTCAGACTGTAGAACTATTTAAAGTTGCTTTGACACAATCTACATTGTAAAGGTGCTATATAAATAAAAATGAATTGAATTAAATTAAATTTACCTCTGCTGCTTTCAAATCAAGCATGTAGAAGAATTTGTTGTTCCAAGTTAGGGTTTGGCAGTATGTCCACAAATCATCTTGGTATTTTACTATTTTACATTGAAATATATTTGGATAAAAACAAAGTCTCTTTATGATTTCCTTTTTTACATACTGGCCAATGTTGCCCAAAGAAGCAATGTTCATATTAAAAGCTATGAAAACAACCATGTAACCAAATATCTAACCCTCTTTGTAACCATGTATCCTTTGCTAGTGCACATAATTTGCGAAACAATCTAAAAACAACAACATAAATTTGAACAGGAGAGATATTGCTTAAACAGTCAAATTACAGTTACTGCACCAATAAGCAATACACTTATTCATCATATGGCACATTTATTGGCCAACAACAAACATTCAATTTTTTTTAGATTAGTCTCCATTTCAGAGGTCACCGCAGTGGAATGAACTGCCCCAAAGACAAATATTTTTAGCAAAATGTAAATTTTAATCAGAATTATTACAGTTATTATGCCCCACTGTTTTATACACAGTGGCAATCAGTCTCTGATGTTTCTTAAGTTTAGTGCAAATCCTAAAGGAGGTTAATACAATCTGTGGTGTTTTTTTTTTTTTTTTTCTCTCAATGAATCAAACTCAGTCTGGAGGTTATGGATATCAGAACAAACCCTGATAGCAAAATGGAAATATCTGCTTGAATTACAGATGGATAATATATTTGTATGTTGTAAAAAACGCCACTAGTTTGTGTCCTGGGCTATTCTTCAGATATGCTCATGGCAAAATATAATATAGTATAGATAGATAGATAGATAGATAGATAGATAGATAGATAGATAGATAGATAGATAGATAGATAGATAGATAGATAGATAGATAGATAGATAGATAGATAGATAGATAGATAGATAGATAGATAGATAGATGAATGGATGGATTTTTTTGCTTGTTCAAACTACTTATTTAAAATGAGCTGAAACAACACAATTCTTGAGATTTCGTTGGAACAACTTAATTTTTTTATGTTCAATTCACATAAATTTGTTAAAAGTGTTAAGTTAACATAATCAATTTGTGTTGAGACAACAAGAATGAATTGTGTGGAACCCTGCATTTTTTGATTGATTGATTGACTGATTGATTGATTGATTGATTGATTGATTGATTGATTGATTGATGGATGGATTGATTGATTGATTGATTGATTGATGGATCGATTGATTGATTGTACAATCTCAACATATTAGCCAGGCTTTTTTTTCAAGCTAAATATCATTGTGTCTTCTTACTTAGTACTCAATGCCTAAAAAACTTGTCTAAAAAACAAGTATTAGCATGAAAATAACTGCTATTACATGTTATTGTTGAAATGTTAAAGTAACTTGCCATAGTCATTATTAAATAATGACAATAGATATGATGAGTAGCAGTTGTACTTCAGACCTCTGAGCTGCTTTCTGTTCCTGCTTGATCCGCATGGCCTCCAGTTTAACAGGGCTGGGGATGAAGGCAATATCTGCCCCCTCCTTCACCAGCCTCCCGATCCACCAGTCATTATTATACTTCTGTAGAGCAAGAGACAGTATGTTCAATAAAACTATGAAAAATGCTAACCATAATCTTCAGTTGACTACCCACCTCCTTTATATGTAGAAAATCTTTGGTTTCAAAGTTGATGGCAGCACCCTGAACCGGACAGTCTTCATCGAGAGCCCCACAGTAGCTGACATTGGTTCTTACTGCAAATGCCACAGGTTTGGTCTACCAATTAAATAAATAAATAAATAAATTTTGAAAAGTTATTAAAAACTTTGCGTATTATTCTGATGCTTATTATTCTGATGCTTATTATCCTGATGCTTATTATCTTTATGCTTCCCTTGCTCTTCAAATTGCACAAACTTAAAATACCTTCTTCTATCTCTTGGTCATGATCCGATCCCAGACAGAATTTGTGGGCATTTTTTACTATTTCTGCTTAGAATTTTGCAAAAAAATAAAAAAATAAAAATAAAATAGACCTAAACATTAAAACATAAAGGAAAAAAATATATATTTCATTGAAGGTTTACGATGCAAATCCAATTAGAACTGCTTGTTTGGAACACAAAGAAAGTCTCTCATATATGATCTACTAAAAGACAAAAAAAAATCACTGCAAACTGTAAAGTGTAAATAAATTATATAAAAATGCGCATATTATTCAATAATAAAACTGAAAGTAATATAAAACTGAATAAATATACACTATCGGTCAAAAGTTTAGGGTAAGTTTTTTTTCTCATTTTTTTAAGAAAATTATTCTGTTGATCAAGACGGCATTTGTTAAGTAAAAAATGCTTGTTTATTAATAACATTTTTAAAAATATTTATCAAAACTTTAAATCACTGATTTCTTATTGTATGTCATTTCATATGAAATGATTACTCCAGTCATTAATAATAATTAAAAATAATTAAAATAATAATTATTAATATAAGAATGATTTCTGAAGGACCATATGAATCTGAAGACTGAAGTAATGAAGCAAAAAATTCATCTTTAAAATCACTGGAATAAATGATTGAATTAATTGATAAACTACATTAAAAACAGTTATTTTATAGTGCACTAACATTTCACAATTGTACAATTTGCACTGTATTTTTGATCAAATAATTGCAGCCTTGGTGAGGAGATTATTTTAAAACATTTAAAACTCCTACTGACCCCAAACCTTTGACCAGTAGTGTACATTTATACACATTTAAGTAAATAAATAGACTCAGTGATGGGCTAAAAAATCTGAGGAAATTTGTGAGTTTCTGTGCATTTAGGCATGATCCAACCACTACAACATGCTATTTTTCATTGCACATGTCAAGCAATTTATTCTTTCATCCAGTATTTATAAATCTATAGATCCTCTGTGAATAGTGTCCTATAACCTCCCAGAAACACCTCCTATGAGGACACGTCCATGCTAATTGGTGCTTCCTTGTCATTGATGATGGGATAACTCACTTTTATCTCATAAGATTAAATAAAATGCTTTGATATGGTATGTAAAACTATCAATATCGGTTGTTATGATTTTTAGAATATTTATTACTAGTGGAAAAAGTTTGTTTGCAAGAAATTGGTTCATGAAAATTGGTTCATTTGATTTTGCATTAGTTTTTTTAGTATAAACTTACAAAGCACAGGGTAACATTATTTGAAAATGAGAGGTAAATGGCAGTTGTACCTTGGCCCTCTCGAGCTGGAGCAGTGCCTGGCGCTCGGCCTCACGCCGAGACGCCTCCTTGTCCTCCTCCAGGGACAGGTCGGAATCCGATGGTCGACTTGTGTAGGAATCTGCTGAACTCTGAGGAAAAGACAAGAGACCAGTCCGAGAGTAACTCTATTATTTTATTTTGAAAGTAATTTTTGATAATTTACTCAATTCTATAATGTCCTCGACCACTGGATTACTTGTATTATTATTTAATTGATTTGTTGTTGCCCTGTTCTCCTATTGTATTTTGTTTAACTGCAAAGGTCTATTATTGTAAAAGATTTTAAGCAGCCCACTTAAGTCAAGCAGCTTATAAACAGAAAGCAAAATCTTTCAAACAGAAAAAGACAGAAAGGAGAAATGTTTGCTAGTTTGTTTGTTTGTTTGCTTTATTTATAGAGCACATTTAAAAACAACAGATGTTGACCAAAGTGCTTTACAAAACGACCAGCATACAAAATCTATACCTATATATAAAAAATTTGCAAAATATATAAAACAGATTAAAATTAATTACAATCAAAGGCAAGAGACAGAAGGTGATTTTTTAGATGAGACTTAAAAGCACCAAGTGAAGAACATGACCGGATCTGTAAAGGCAGACCATTCCACAGTCGGGGGGCTGCAGCAGAAAAAGCCCTGTCACCTCTTGATTTCAACCGCGTTTTGGGGACAACTAGCTGAAATGTGTTTTCAGACCTGATTGGCCTCAATGAAGTGTGCCAGTGAAGAAGCTCAGAAATGTAAGTCGGTGCCAGAACATTCAAACTTTTAAAAACTAGAAGCAATAATTTATATTGAATTCTAAATTGGACTGGGAGCCAGTGAAGAGACAATAAAACTGGTGAGATACTAGAGAATTTTTTTGTCCCAGTTAAAAGCCTAGCAGCTGCATTTTGAACCAGCTGCAGGCGTGCTATTGATGCCTGTGAAACTCCAGAATACAAAGAGTTACAGTAGTCCAGTCTTGACATAATAAAAACATTAATGACAGTTTCCAGCTCTTTAAAAGAAAGAAAAGGCTTCAATTTGGCAATGTTCCTTAATTGATAGAAACCACTTTTGACGACTGAGTTTATTTGCTTGTCAAACTTTAACTCAGTGTCAAAAGTAACTCCAAGATTTTTTACGTGACTGTGGACCTTAGGCTTGATCGAACCTAATTTATTAATTGTAGATTCACAGACACTCGGAGGACCAAACACTACTACTTCAGTTTTTGATTCATTCAAGTGTAAGAAATTACCAGCCAGCCATTCCTTAATCTCGTTAAAACAGGTGAAAAAGGACTGTAAAACAGAATTTTCTCCCATTTTTATAGGCAAGTAAAGCTGAGTATCATCAGCATAGAGGTGGTAGCTTACATTATGCTTCTTACAAATTGCTGCCAAGGGAAGCATGTAGATAGAGAAAAGAGCTGGGCCCAAAATTGAACCTTGGGGGACACCACACTCCAAACGTGCAGATGAGGAAGAAAAGTTACCCAATTCAATAGAAAAGGTCCTCCCTGAAAGATAAGAACTAAACCAATTTAAAACATTTCCTTGAATCCCAGCCCACAATCTTAAATGCTCAATCAAGATATTGTGATGTATTGTGTCAAATGCCGCAGTCAGGTCTAGTAAAATTAGAAGTGCGCATTTTCCAGAATCAACCGTCAGAAAAATATCATTAGACACTTTTAGGAGAGCTGTCTCAGTGCTATGCCGTGTCCTAAAACCAGATTGAAATTTGTCAAGAATGTAATTTCCAATTAAGTGACTAGAAAGCTGTTGAAAGACAACTCTCTCCAAGATTTTAGACTGAAAAGACAATTTTGAAATTGGTCGATAGTTTTTTAAATCTGATGAATCCAGATTGGTTTTTTTTAAAAGGGGTTGTACTACAGCATGCTTAAAACAAGAAGGTACGACTCCACTCAGCAAACTAGAATTCACTATTGATAGAAGGTCTAATCCAACCACCTCCAATACCTGAATGAAAAGATGTGGAGGGATAATATCCAGTGAACAATGGGAGGGCTTCATATGGAGGACCAAGTCCACCAAATCCTGTAACGTGATTGGTTTAAATTCATCCAAAAAGTGTGCTAGTGAAGGTGGGGTGGTACTGTCAAGGAAAGCGTCTTGACGCAGAATCCCAGCTCTAAGGGCTTCAATTTTACTAATAAAAAACTGTAAAAACTTTTCGCATGTTGTCTGGCAAATAGCAAGACCAGACGTAGTCTCAGTGTTTAAGGCTAAGTTAATTGTTTTAAAAAGAACTCTAGGGTTATTAGGAGCCTTTTTTATGAGATTAGCAAAGTATTCTGCTTTTGCGGTTTTAACTGCCTTCTGATATTTAATCATAGAGTCTTTTAAAATTTCATAATGCACCTGCAGTTTAGTTTTCTTCCATATTCTCTCCGCTTTTCTCCATAGCTGACGAATGCTACGGGTATCACTATTTAGCCACGGTTGTTGTTTGGCTTTAGGTTTTAAAATTTTTAAAGGAGCACACAGCTCCATGATTTCATTACAAGTGGAATTAAATAGTGACATTGATTCATTTATTTCCAACCCAAAAGGCAAAAGTGTAATTGACAAAACTTTAAAATAATTCTCCATTAACTAATGCATTTATTAACATTAACTAAGTATCAGTAATCTTGTAAAGCATGTATTAATCATAATTATTATATTATTACATAGTTATTATATTATTAGTTATGCATATTATTGCATTTTTAAAATCCAAAGTTGTGCTTGTTAACATTAGTTAATGTATCAATATAAACCAAAATGAATCACTGTTATTTAAATGAGTCAGGTTTAGTGATTTCTTCTTCCCAGTATAAGGTTAAAAATATTTGAGTGGTTTAATTGAAATTATTATTTATTTTTGCATACAGTTTTATGCTGTATTTTATTTATCATTGGTTTTGTTTTATTATACCTATGTGATTATAAGCAAAATAACTTCAAAAATATTTGTTAATTACCAGGTTCTGTATTTCAGGATTCCCAGTTTTTTATTTATTTGTTTTATTTACAGTTATAAATTGCATTATGGGACCTTGATCTTTGCTCTGATTTGATGCTGAAAATTCAACTAAGTTTTTTTTACTTTTATTGACATTTTAGTTTAAAGCAATATATTGTATAATAAACAAGATATAGACAATTAAGTTCGGAAAATAATAGAAAAGGTATGGCAGTGTCTTTTGTAATACAAATTACAATCTAAAAAAAATGTGTACTTGTGTACTGTTCAAATGGACTACCCTTTTGTTATGTTCAGGATAAAAACATTCAAATAAACTCAATTCAATTCATCTTTATTTGTATAGCGCTTTAACAATGTAGATTGTGTCAAAGCAGTTTCAAGATTCTAGTAAATTGAAATAGTATTCAGAGTTAAAGTTCAGTTCAGTTTAGATTAGCTCTACAAGTCCCAAACTATGCAAGCCAGTGGCGACAGTGGTGAGAAAAAAAACGTCACCAATGGGCAAAAGGTAAGGGAAAAAAAAACCTTGAGTGAAACCTGGCTCAACATCCACTGAATCAACTGTAAATCTGCATCAGATACATTTTTTCTTTCTCTTTTTTTGCATAAATCTGTTAATCAACCTCAGTCCTGATCAAAACTTTTAAATGTTTTTTTTTTTTAAATACAAGATTTCAGATCTTTAATTGCCAAATTCACAAATGATGTCACTGGTCTGGTGGAAAAAAACACACAAAACCTTTTCAAACTTTTCAACATCAAAACATGTTAGTAGAAATACCAAGATCCTGTAATGCAGTTCCAAAGCATAATTAAATGGGGCAAATATCAATCATAATCATAAAACAGGGAAAACTGCAGACTTTATTTACTATGTATATTTTAGGCAGTGCTGCAAATACTTCAAATACTACATTTAACTTCAGACAATCGTGATACTAAATACTGTAAACAATAATATTTTATTAATAAACAAATCCTAGCCTCTCAATTCTGCTCAAAGCCAGCACACATGCACGAAAGTTGAATAATGAAAACAGTGAACACAAACATGGTAGGAATTTAAGGACAAAAATCATTCCTTTTTATCATCATCCTTGATCTGATGCAATGTGTGCAGATCTAAATGTAATGCTGCAGTCAACACTTTTCATTCATATTCAGATTGGGTGCTTTTCACCCCCATATCTAAAATCAGGGAGTATATTTTCAACCATTTTAGTAACATTTTTGGCCCAAGTCCCTGTTAATCTCCAACACACCAAAACCAAAATATGCCAAACATGTGTTGCAATCCTCCATCCTCTCAGATCTCCAGTCCACATCAGCCTTTCTCTCTCTCTCTCTCTCTCTCTCTCTCTCTCTCTTTTTTTTTCTCCTCCAAAATCCAGAACACAGTGAGGATATGATTTAAATATCAAAGGCAGCTGCAGGGCACAGATGTCTGCGACACCTACCATCCGAAGAGATGAAGCATAATTAAGTAGACACCATCTAAGATACGATTCTTATGAGCTATTAAAATATAGCTCCTGTCTAAATGAACATGTTAATCAAGCAGTGTCCCTTCCGTCACAGAGCCATCCTGAACCAACTCAACATCATGTTCACCTCTTTCATGTGTTCAGCTTAGAAATAAATAAAGTATAGACGAGGCCTTTGATGTACAACAACACAAACACAAGAGCTTCAGAGCACTTGCACAACCATTTTGTGTTTCCTACACACACACACGACGTACATTAACTCTAAGTCATTTTCAGATGACCCGACAGACTTTTTAGACTAATACCTGGATCGATAGAGTAATGTAATCCTTTAAAAGACACAATGGATATCAACCTCATCGGCTAACAGTGTTTACACAACACCTTGTCCCATATATTGCACTTACAACACACATCTAAATCATTAGACATTCCCAGAAAAGGCCGGATATAAGAGTTAGGACTTATTTAGTATCGCTTTGTTGTCATATTCTGCTTAGTTACTGATTATTCACTGTTTTACGCTGTAGATTTTTGATTGTTACCTTGATTTTTTTCTTGATTGCACCCGTTTTTTGTTTTGTTGATTGCTATCTTTGCATATATAAGGCCTTAGCT